AAACAAGAGAAGAAGATCTACCAGGTACCTTGTGAATGTAGTGAGTCGTAAATTGGAGAGACTAAACGTCCTCTAAATGTACGACTTAGCGAGCACAAAAAATATGTACAAAAAGGTGAAGTAATGAAGTCAGTTATTGCGGACCATGTTGGGTCAAAACAGCACAATATAAAGTGGTCAGAAGCTCGGATTGTCTAAAGGGAACTTCACGGCGGATACAGGAATTTATTTTAGGGGGGGGCCAAATAAAAAGTAATGTAGAATATGCTATTTAGGGCGCCATTTTTGACCCAAAATCCTAATATTTAACCCAATCTATAGATTTTAGGGGGGGGCCGGGCCCCATGGCCCCCCCTCTGTATCCGCCACTTTGCATTTTTATTGCAAACAATAACACCATTTTTAGTAATCCCAGTACGGAAATATTTACGACATGGCAACCACGTGTGAATGTCTAGCTGTAGTATAAAAGCTCAGTGGTTTTAGGAATTGGTTTAGTTTACACTGTTTACACTGTGTTTACACTTGATAACGGTCAGTGATCCTTCTGACCGAAACGTTGTGTTAATCAAAAATAAATAAAGACGATTGATAGTCCGAAATTCTTTTAGTTTCAATACTGAATCATTATCTACCACATTCACAGTAATGTGTAAGTATATCAGGTGCTAGTAAATATTCAGAAATGTTTATTGGAATAGGAGCAGGCCGAGCAGGTGTCTCTTGACCAAGTCTTTTGTTCAAATGAAATACCTCATTTTGCATATAAGGTAAGAATAAGTGTAAGAAAAGTGTATCTATAATAAATTGTGTAATCTATAATAAATTCATAGACATTCATTTTTATTTGTTTACTTGAAAATAAGGTGCTTATAAATCTGCTAGTTTATAAAAATAACACAATATTCTTCGCGGCATTATTAAATTAAATCACTAGAACCTCAGCCTAATCAGAACCAGCTTGTCGACTTAAGCTGAGTGGAAATATGCGTATACCTACCTAAGACACTGTTTATTAGGGTGTCCGTTATTTACCAAGTTGATCATTTCTCTCACGACGCCCTCTAAATTTTTAGGTTGTTGTCTAAAAAAAGATAACAGACCATTGTAGACCCTTAATATTAAACCTTGCTCCAAAGATGATTCGTTTTCCATTTAAATTACATGGGAATTTGCCACTTTTTGCAAATATTTTTTTTTCTTTTTATATCTTGTTCCAGACAACCATGATAATTCATACAGAATTGAACGCTCTACAAAAAAGATCTCTTACAATTTTTCGATAAACCTAATTCTTCAAAAGTTATTTACGGTTAAAGTTAACCACTCGGTAAATACCTAAAGTTTTCAACTTTTTTGACAAAATTATGATTATTTTTGAAAAATTTAATCTAGTATTTGAAAAAAAGCAATTTTTCGTGATACCATGATAAACAATTTTGAATCATGGAAAACAATTGAATGCATGACAGGTAGTTAATTCTAATACTTATTATTTTTGGGCTTGTATTCTTTTGCAGTACTTAAGTAACTAATTGTAAGTAAGTTCGGTAAATTTCTGTTATTTTCCTAACACTTTTTTTCTATTGAGTTGACGATTTGAATTTATTTTTACAAACACTCTTGCCAACATACAAAAAAAAAATATCAAAAATATCAAAATCCAACTAATCCAACTTTTAAAAACATAACCAAGAATGTTTATTAAAATAAATCAGCTATCATTAGATAAATGCAACAAGTTTAGATTGGAAAGCCCGTAAAAATTTTAGGTCGCGAAATTATTTTGGGTCGCGATCGTTATACGCGATCTGGCGCTGCTATAGCGGTCGCTAACAACAACGGCAAACAAAAAGAGAAATAATTTTCTCTTGTCAAAGTCAGAAACTGGTCAGAATCAAGTCAGAATCTTTAAAAATCATAATAATCTTTCAAAATCTAAACCGCTCTCGTTAAAGAAATTCCGAAAAGAGTTTGTATCATCCATTTTCAAAGTACTTATTGCTATCTTGTGAGTTTAATTCAAGTTTTATTTACTCCAACCGGTGATAATTGTGAAAAAGTGGCATTAAAAACTTAAAAAGCTGTGCTGTGAACTGTGAACTGCAAAAACCATCGTGGATCGTGGCATAACGTCGGTTTCCAATGTTTCGTAGGTATTTCATACATGCGTCCTTATATAAAATATAGTTTCTTGTATGCAACACACTGTACTTTATTTATAAAATTAAACGAAAATAATAATAAATTTGAATAAACAATATTTGGCGATATAATTCCGGAAAAAGCCGAACCGCTCCGAAATTTTCAAAAGTTTTGGGTCGCGACCGTTGCAAGAATAGCGCCAAATAGTGTTTACATTGTCCTTATGGGCACTTTCCAATCTAAATTTGTTTCATTTATCTATGTCAGCTATACTTAAATGGTTTAAACTTCATTAGACTTGAAGATTTCTTAATGCCCAACTTTAAAACACCATCAGAATTGTATATTTTTACAGTACTAGATTACATTTTTCAAAAATAATCATAATTTTGTCAAAAAAGTTGAAACTTTAGGCATTTACTGAATGGTTAATTTTAACCGTGAATAACTTCTGAAGGAGTAAGTTTATCGAAAAATTGTAAGAGACCTTTTTTGTAGAGCGTTCAATTGTCTGTTATTTTTTTAGGCAATAAACTAAAAATATAGAGGGCGTCGTGAGAGAAATGATCAACTTTGTAAATAACGGACACCCTCCTGTTATCTTAAGTATGTTACGTAACAAGTCGGGTTCTGAGCTCCATTAAAGCTTCTTTAAAACTGATCAGGATTGGTGTTACGCCGAATACTCGCATGTGTAAGAGAATAGAGGTAGAATGTAACATGCGAACTTTCTAAAATATTTGAAGCTGGATAGTTTGAATAGGCTGCGCTTCTACTTCAACAAAATTAAAATTGCTCTCTTAGAAAATTCGAACATTTAATTTTGTATTCGAATGACGGTATTGCATTAGGTCAGAAGATATTGAGTTAACCGGTTACAAAATGATTAATTTTATCATTGGCAAGCAAATCATTGCGATACATTTTATTAACCATAGTTAGCAACAGTTGGCTTAAGTTAACTTTTTTCTTTTGCTTTACGAAACTGTTAATATATGCAATTTTTTACCGATTTCCATGGAATTAGTAACTAGCAAATCCCCAATATAGATTCCCCTTTTCAAAAGATTCTGGGGTACCTCAATATACACGCATGATTGTGTGGTGTGAGGTCTTTTCTTCTTTACATTTGTTTTAGGTACGAATTCGTTATATCCAGCTGTTTTAGGTCTTTCCTTAGTACGACCCGTCTTTATCACATGTTTGTTGTTATTAATCGCCATTGGACTAAGAGACTTTGGAAGTATTTCGAAGGGGGATGTTTTATGCTTGATTTTAAACTGATTTTTCAATTCGGTTTGTTCCTTGTTTCTCCTGGATACCTCTTTCAACCACTGGCAGAACACTGTTTCGTTTTGCTGTACTTTTAAGTGTCGGTACTGTTCAATTAGCTTTTGTCTTGCCAGTTCTTTTTGTTTGATCATTTCGAGGTGGCGATTCTTATTTTTTAATTGTCGATATGTGAGCCCGTATTCCGATCGGTATCCGTTATAATTGGGAAGATTTTGGGAGCTGCTCGACAATTTCACGTCGTCGCAACATTGGCGTTGATGAAGTTGAAGTGGAGGTAAATTGACCTACAAGAATAAATTAATAATATCATTCGAAAGAAGAATGAGTGAAACTAGTTACATGGGGCATATCGTTGACCTAGATCAGTGGCGGAGAACCTATGAGCCGTGGGACTGACACTGGTCCAGGCAAGATTTTTAACTGACCCACAATTGCAAGGCAATCATTTGTTTGTTTACGTGGGCTTATTTAGATTTTCTAATTTTTGTGGATATATATAGCAAAATAAAAACACTAAAATCACCACAATACACCAAAACACTTTTACTTTTACACTGGACGCGCGTTTCGCTAACCATGTTAGCATCATCAGCAGATGATTATAAACATGATTAAAACATATCGTTTATAATCATCTGCTGATGATGCTAACATGGTTAGCGAAACGCGCGTCCAGTGTAAAAGTAAAAGTGTTTTGGTGTATTGTGGTGATTTTAGTGTTTTTATTTTGCTGTGTAACACCAAAGGTTCCAACCCTCAACTGTAATATATATATATATATATATATATATATATATATATATATATATATATATATATATATATATATATATATATATATATATATATTGACACAAAATGAATTTAAATGCTATCTGCAACCTTCAGTGTGATCATTACTGTTTGATACTTGTGATTCTAACTGATTACAACGTCGCGCGTCGAGTAAAAATTGAAAGTTTACAAAATATCAAAGTGTATAATTTTACTCACATTGTGTTTGTCGAAAAAAAAACGAGACACCACGCCCATTTTTATTAGTTAAGTCAATTGAATTTTAAACATGTTTTTAAACTTAACTTGTGCAAATGAGCAACAAATCGCAAACTGCGAATCAATCGCAGCGATTTTAAAATTGCAATTGCAACCTGCGATTGGCTCTCATGCGACTGCGATTTCTTCTGTTTGCGAGTTTCAATTTAGGCAACTATTATATTATATAGTTGCGAGTTGCGATTTTGTACAGTTTGTCTGCTGGATCTGTGTCTATGAAAGGAATGAGGACAAAAAACATTTAAATAAACAGCAATATATTTTATACGTCGACTTGACGAGTACGTCACCACAAATCGCTCCGCCCACTCATTTTATTGGCTACTTGCAAATTTGTCGAATTTTTATTGATGGGACGCGTCGTCTAATTTTTTACGAAAAACATCGAGAGAATATCGTTTCCCCTCTCACGGATACCCCGTAGCCACAGAACGGACAGACGTACTGTAACTAGTTGCGATTTTGCTGCTATTGTGATTTTGTAAACTAGGACCGTGATAATCTTCTATCTGCGAGTTTGAATTTTTAGGAGTTGCGATTTGCGATTTTGTTGCGAATGTAATTTTGTGATTCATTGAAGCATTTTATAGTAAACGATTGATTTTTTTCTCTGATTTTATTTATTTATAGAGATCATAATATATTGGGTGTTTCCAAAAGTGGTTCTTCTATAACTTTTTTATTTTTTCTGATAAAAAACGATATTTGGTATGTTAGCATATAACATAAATGATGATTGATTGAATTCGTTCTCGTTTTTTTTTACTTTATTCAATAGAATATGACACTCTGAATAGAATGGCATATAATATGTCAACTTCTGACATTTACGCTTAAAAAATTGTATTTTAAATTTCAATCTAGAGTGCCATGGCTGTGTTAAAATCACTAATTTTTAATCAACGATCCTTGAAAAAAAAATTGTTTATTGTTTTTCGTGTGTCATCCTGACCGATTAAAAGATGCCCAGATGCCGTTTGGTATTTTTAGTCATATCTCAATTCTTTTCAAACGGAATGAGGGTGGCTCATTAGGATATTTAGAAAAAGCGTTTTTTTACGAATAATTTGGTACCACACATACAACGTTGTTGTTATGAACCGCATGTTACAATTTCCAGTTAAACCATATGCGAAAATGTCAAAAGTGAATATATGATATGACATAATATGCAGAGTGTCATTTTCTATCGAATAAAGCAATAAAAAAACCGATGGTGATACGATAAAAAATCAAAAGTTGAAGTTATGAAGTATTGAATCCTGTTTCACCGTAAAGAAACAGGATTCAATACAAATCAATTGAATACGTACATACACAGACAATTATATACCTAATACAATATTTAAATATTAAAATCGCAATCGCAGCTTTCAGTCACAGCGATTTAAAAATTGCAATGGCAGTTTCAATTGCGATTGGAGAATCGCAGTTTTGCTCATCTCTATTAGTGACCCACTAGCTAGTACTAAAAAATGAGAAAAACATTTGGCCTTTCTCAAAAAGCTTCGCCATCCCTGACCAAGGTGCTTTAGTACAAATTATCCTCATAAGTACAAATTATCTTAGATTTAAAATAAAACATTGCCGAAACGTACGAAAACATTATTTTCATTACCTACATCTGTCAAATACAGTGGGGCGAAATTGGCTTAAAATGATGATAGATGATGTTTATAATAGAATCGTATCAAATGACAGCGATATTAATTTCCAAGCCAACTCTAAAGCCGTTTTTTTCGATCTGTCTGGCGTTTTTGTGTCTGGTACCTATATCTAATAAGATGCAAAAATATTACCGTAGATTTTTCGTGTATTTCCAGTTTCTTGATGGATATAGATAAATTTTTATCGATTTTTTCAATGCAATGATCTTTGCAGTGAACTTCTGTACAATATTTAGACTTTCTTCTTCTTTTTGGATTTGTTTTTGACATCTTGTCAAATTGAACTTGGCGTTTTTCTAAATTAATTTCATTTTCAATTTGATCTTCAGATATAACTTCTTTAGTTGTCTTTTGTATTTCTCTACCTATGTTGAACGCCTATAAATATAATTATTGTTTCGATTTATTATGCCTCAATAAAAAGAACATTGTTATATGCAATGACTAAAGAATACCAGGATATGTAACGCCCATTATACGGGCTGCAGCAGAATTTGTTACCTTAGACGCCTTTTTGTTGGAATTAACGAATCATCAGCGACAATTTAGCAATTTTTAATAGTTCGTGTGTAGTGAACTTTGTATAAACTTTACTACAATGGTGATGTGTTCAGCTTTCAAGTGTAAAAGCCGCAGCGATAAGAAACAGCCAGGAGTTACGTTTCATAGGTAAATAAACAGTCTACTCCACCTTTTTAGCGTTTTTTTTAGTTTTCTTATTGAATTCGATATCAATATCGATCGATAATTAGTTTTCTGATATTATATGTACTTGAAATGTGCTATACGTCGATACTAGTTTTGTACCTTATGTTAACATTTGAATACGTTTTTTTCGCAATGAATTAGTATGATACCACCGCATACACCATAGGCGTAGTCAAGACATTTATCAAAAATATAAATATCGCTTCAAGCGGTTATGTTAAGAAAAATATGTGCCACGGCACTGTTTGGAAGAATAGTCACAGTTTGGTCTCGGGTGTTATTTCTCCTTGTATACTTTAATCATTGGTTATATCATAGGGTTATATGGATTAAAAATACCTGGTTATCTTCAGGTTCTTCATCGCTGGTTAGAACTTCTTCTTCAAAAGCAGTTTCTTCTTCGGTGTCGTCGAGATTAGTATCATTTCTCAAAATTGTATTAAACATTTTAGGCGTTGGTTCATTTATTTCTTCTACAATATCGCAATCTAAAAATTAGGTAGGTATTAAAGCATTTATATTACATGGGAAGATATACAGTAGGTGTTTTTTTACTTTTACGTAAAATGCTCGAAAATGTTGCAATAGTAAATTAGTAAACATGCTAAATATCTTTGGAGAAACTATGATTTAACCTTGAATTTTCATGTTTCCCTTGTCCGACGATACGATGATATGAAATTAATTTTATTGGTTGAATTTAAAGACTTCGATTGCATTTTCGAGAAAATTTATTGCATTTTCGTGCCTCCGTTCGCTGATTGGTGTCATTTTATATTTTCATTTTCATTACGATTTTGCTGTTTTACTTATAGTCTAAGAGACAAAGACTAGCAACGTTTTTGAGAGAGAATTTTAAGAAGCCTGGTTCTTTAATATATCTTTTGCTATGCCCTCCCGAACAGAGTGCGGACCGTCTGGCTGCCGGTAGACATTGCGATCACTACTGCGCTTCATATCTGTATTCAACATCTGCGCATCACAAATTTGCCCTGTATTTCAGGAACTAAAAAGACTAGGACAAACCTATGTTTAGCATATTTAGTTTCATTAAAAAGTTACAAAGTAATATGAAAATTGCATCATTGTATCTCTACTCATAAACGAAAAATCCCATAAAAACACGAAAATGGGATACCCTGTACAGATGTGATGCGCAGTAGTGAACCGCAGTAATCTTCCGGCAGCACAGGAGAGCAAAAGATATACTAAAGAATCAGCTTTCTTAAAATTCTCGGTTTACCGACAGTGCTAGCTCTTGTACCAAATCTTGTACTAGTATGTTTTTATTAAGGTTTGATTAAATTTGTCAAAAAAGTGTCAACACGTCCGTATTATACGATCTTTCTCCGTTGATGGGCTGGAGTAAAAAAAATACGGATGAAAAGTGGCGCGAAAACGCTATGACCACTCAGAGCACTGTCGGACCATCGTATCAACGAATAACGGATGCATGAAAATCAAGCTTAACGGACGCATGAAAATCAAGCTTTAGACATGCATGGGAATTAGTGTCCATTTTTTTTATCCACCAAGGAGATTATATTACTATTATTAAAAATATCTGCTGTCAAAATTGATATGATTTTGATTTGATACAAAATACAATAATCTATCGATCTCAGTTGATTTTGACTCGCTTCGCCAATATTGTTACGTTTGCTAACAATGTAAAGATGATTTAGAGTACATGACAAGAAAACTACAAGAGGAATATCAACTAAGGGGTTTGGAAATAAACACACGGAAAACTAAATATCTACCTATTGATGCAGAATTATCTAGCGTACATCTAGAAAATGAAGAGATAGAAGCATGCAATGACTACACCTACGTAGGAGTGATATTCGATAAAACAGCTAAAGATGACAAAGAAATTAAAAAACGAATATCACAAGCTAGAAGAACAATTGGCTGTCTGAATGGAGTATTTTGGAGCAATGAAATAGGGAAAAAACGGAAGATCAATATATACGAGAAAAAAAAAAGGTAAAGAGCAGTCTACTATATGGCGCAGAGACTTGGCGAATAACGGAAGCAAACCGAAGAAAACTTGAGGCGGTAGAAATGGATGCCTATAGAAGAACCTTAGGAATTTCCCGAAGAGATAGTGTCCGAAACGAAGAAATCCGACAGAGAATAGGAATAGAGGGATCTTTGGCAACCGACATCGAACGCCAACAACTTATGTGGTACGGACATGTCCAGAGGATGGATGACACCCGACTTCCAAAACAAATTATGCAATGGATACCCCAACATCGAAGAAAACGTGGAAGACCTAAGAAGACTTGGAAGGAGGGTGTCACAAGAGCAATGAGTGCCAGAAACCTAAACGAGGGACAATGGAACGATCGGAAAACGTGGAAGTTAGGCATCGGACAACGTCGCCAAGACGTTCTATATATATATTATATATATATATATATATATATATATATATATATATATATATATATATATATATATATATATATATATATATTATATATATATATATATATATATATATATATATATATATATATATATATATATATATATATATATATATATATATATATATATATATATATATATATATATATATATATATATATATATATATATGGAGGCGCGCGCTGTCAACATTGCTTCTGTCAACTCTCTGTGATTTAACTTAACTCCACTTTTGCTTTGATCGTTTGGCCTGTCAGACGCCATTAGTCCCAGTTTTTGAGAAATGGTCATTATTTAAATCTTGCTGTGTAATCTGAATCAGCTGCTATTTCGAAGCTACAGGTAAAGATGAGATATTATCCTTTTAGATTCGTTACTATTACTGCGTATTTTTAGGGTAGAGTTGCGGATGCCCCAACCTAACTTGTAATTGTATTTTGCTGGCACGTTGGCGTCCCTTTTCTTTTGTCCTCCAGAATGTCACATGGAAGGAAGGACAGGTTCTTTATTATTTAGTGAGCCCTCGGAAGTAATTCGAGGTAGGTTCATTTTGTTTATAAGATCTTGTTTGGTTTTAAACAAGAGTTTCATATTTTTAGGGTCCAAGGTACGGATAGTGTCTTATGTACAGACATTATCTTATGTACAGATGTCCTGTGGACGAGTGTCCCCAGTAAGAATGATTTTTTTTTCTTACATATAAGTGCCACAGCGTGGATGTAGCTTGAGTCCCATGCTGCTTCACTCCCATTTCTAAGCCTAGTCAGTAGCTACGGCTGTAGTGATTCATGGTGTCCTCAATCTGGCCCCTTTTGTTGTTTTGGCCAACAGGATCCCGACAGACAGTACAGAGATGCTAGACCACCTCACGCTGCTACTGTTTGAAGCAAGGTTATTGTAAAAGAACAGCTAAGTGTATATTTAAGTTCTAGTTTTACATTTAACATCTAAAATATTTTCAGTCTTAAACAATAACGTACATCTTAAGTAATATCGTACAGACTATGTTCAGTGGTTAGATTGTTAAGAACATTCTATTCGATATAATCTTTAAAATATAATTTAGATCTTAGGTTTCATTACATTACATCTTGTAATGGTATTACTTTTATAGATACTATTGCACGATTTTAATAAATGGATAATCAAACATAGATTCTAGAATCTACAGGTTGTAACATCTTCGATTTAGCATCATATGGAATATATCAAATTAATTAAAGTAATGCTACATTTCATATTTTCTCTTAAACGTTACATGTCCTGTATTTCATCGTAGTTGTTTTCATTGATATTTAGTACGACTCTTACCACCACTTTCTTTGACATACACTATATATTTACTATACACTATATATTTACTAGAACTCTACAATGTCATGTATCAGCAAAGAACGTCATGAATAAATATAGTCATTAGTTTTAAGTATTATACAACTGTGTTTTCTTTCTCTGTACATGCCTGGCGCCCAATATCTATATATCTTTTGTTAATTATTACTGATTAATTTTCTCTCTAGTGAAATACCTTATCCACGACTGCTCTCCGATGAAAAGCTGCCGTTCGCAGTGGTAGTGGTTTAAACAAAACGCTACAATGTATATAGAAAGATGGGAGGGGAGTTTCACCGCGACCTTACAGATCTATTGTGTCCCCCTTTCTTGAGTTACATCATACAATCTATAACTCATCATATATGAAGGTTTTCCTGTTGTAGGGGAGACAGGGTATTTCCTATCCAATTATCCCTCCTCCAAGGGTGTCCACCAATGTTAAGGTTTGATTCTCCGTGCCCTTCACAGTCGAAGAGCTTGTCTCCGGCTGAAGTCTCCATGAGGTGGAGGCTGAAGGATCTGTCTTTATTTTCTCCACCTCTTTAACTTGGCCTCTCCTTAGACCTGATACCGGTGTTGTCCCGAATCTATAATATCTCTCTTTCACTATTGCCTTCTTGGATTTGAGGTCAATTCCCATTGTGAGGACCTGACCATGGCCCTGACCTCCTTCGAGTTGCCTCGAGTGGATTGGACAACTCGATGTCCCTACATTCTGTCAAAGCTGGTGTTTTTTTTCTCCTTGCTAGGGGAGAGGTAAGAGGTCTCTTGGTGGCCCTTGTTCGCCGTTTGGTGGAGATGCTTACTAGAGAAGGTGGTAGCTTGTGTGCCACTTGTGGAGACTGGTCTCGCGCAAATGTCAGTTGCCTCTCCTGTAGTTCCCTTTGGGGTTGGTCCCTTGGAACTTGCACTATTAATGTTTTGATCTGGTCTCTTCATCGTAGTATTTAGATTTTTGGTGAGCTTATTTCCTCTTGGTCCGTGCGGTTAAGCCAAGACACCTCCGCATCCTCTGCCCGTGAGATATGACCACAGTCAATAGAGGGTGCCTGGTATGATGGACAGGGTGGCATCGTTGTATGTTTTGGTGCAATTCCCTAATTTGGTGCAATTATTAGCTGATGTTGCGAAACGCGTATCCAGATTTCAGAGTAAAGTGTTTTCGTGTATTTTGCAAACTAGTTTTTTATATTACTATTGTAACGCCAAAGGTTCTAATATCAGCTATATGTCTATTTTGCTAAGAATATTACACCTATTCTACAAGTTTCCTGAAATTAAGGTGTTTGTTGTCTACAAGAAAATATAGTAAAAGTGACAGTATTTTAAAAATAGGTAGATAACTATCTTTACTGGTGTACTATCAGAACTGGCTCCTAGTGCTTCCAAATTCAAGCAATTGTAAACCCACCATATATTAAATACCTTCTTCACGAATAGCCAAGTCTTCCTCTATGTGATCGCTTTCGATACTATTTACATCGTCATCCGTCATATCTGGTTCAAAAGAAACTAGTTCCTCCCTGAATTTTACTTTTATTGATCTAGTCACCTCAGGAGTAGAGTTAAACAAGTCAAAATTTGCCTGTTGTACTTTTTCTGTAATGTTGTAAGGACTGGCTGATGGTTGAAGAACTACAAGAATGGTTCTTAGTAAAATTCTTTATTTCATTATATTTTGTGGTAAGTTTTTACATACTAGATAAAGTCGAAGAACATTTAGAATTCTGAAAATTTGATAGGGTAGAAATGATCTTTGGAGACACTCAAAATATTTCAAAGGTTATACCATAGTATTAGAGAGAAACCTAGGAAGGTTATTTTAAATTTTATGAAAAATTTCTAAATTATAAAAATCGAAAAATGTTAAAAAGAAAAGTTGCTCTGTATTTTATTTTACGTATATTTACCGTTAATTTTCAATCATTATTCTATTATTATTTTCAAAATCAAATGTTTTCCCTACGCATGATATAAACTAAAATGAATGTAACAAAAATTATTCCTAATACCCCAGTCAAATTAGTTATAAAAAGGCCTATCGGTGGAAAACATTCCCACAGTTTTGAAAATGGTTTTAAATAATTCCTCAAGATCAGCCCGAGGAGTGGGGAGGAGTTAAATGTCATTTTTTCACTTTTTTGCTTATATCTCGGAAACTATGTACCGAAAAACGCTTTATATATAAAAATAAAGTGTTATGATTTTTATGAGTACCTTGTTTATATAGTGTATTGTTATGATTAACAAATTATGGTTTATGTATTATGTCAGATTGTATTATTCATAATGCATGGTTTTTATGACATAGGCGATAGAATGTTACGGGAGATAAGATTGGGAGTGAGGCGTCCGCAGCAGTCAGTCGGTACCGTGCGCTCGCACGATACATATGTTTGTGTCGTAATCCTAAGTACTAAAATGTAATAAAGAAGTTATGAGGGAAATCCAGTGTTTTATTTGAAAATACAAGATCTATTGTTTACATATCAGAAGTGGGATAGAACTACTAGAAGTACCACAAGAGTTTAAAAAGTGCCAATATGCCATGTTGGGTGTGAATCCATAAGTTAAGTTGCTGGAAAAGGACATAAAGCCATAAAGCAACAAGTCCACCAGTGTTAGTGAATAGAAAGGATTATAGTACATACAGGAACATTTGGAAATTGGCTTATCCACTCCTACTTCAAAAATGGAAAAAGACAAGGCTGTTACGATGTGCAAGGTGCAAACTGCAAGTCATGTTTGCTAAAATAAGTCTTTTGATTGACCATGTTGACATAAACACTAAAGCAGTGAGAAAATATAGCTTCAGAGGATACGTTCGAATAAGATAAGTACACAGATATCCATTAATTGTTAATTTATGTTTCATAGTTACGAATATAAAATTTTTGGTTGCTTGTTTATGATTTTAAAGACGTTATTGAAATTAATACTCCAATAAATTAAATTTGTAAAAGAATCAAATAAAATAAAGGGTTCAGATCAATTAGTGATAGTGATTTCACTATAGGACAGCCTGTATAACGATAAAAAAAGTTTTAACTAAAATTAAAAATAAGCACTTTTATAATCTCCTGACAAATTTGATTCAAGCAATATCAAATTCTAAATTCTTTTCTTCTAATGCCTAAATTATTTAAATTTATAGCTATTCAATTCCAGTGAGTGCAATGAAGCAATAAGACTGTTTAAAATATCACCAAGGTTTAAATTTACATTGTGAACAAACGATCACAAAACTAAATCTTTAGAAACGTTATAGACTGATTATAGTCTAAAAATAATTATTGTTTTAATAAATTTTATGATTCAAAAATTATTTCTGTTTCATATAAAGATATAACGTTCTTTTTAAAATAATTAAGGACTAATTATCATTTTCAGGACGGTCTTAGAAAATAGTCACATAAAAATAAAAGTAGTTACACAATGTGTTTAAAAAAATATGGTGATAATTGACAACAGAAAATGTTCGTACACCGCTCGATAAACACACAGAGTTTTTTTTACATAACACAATAATATTTGTTTGGATTTGTAAAAAGAAATTAGTATGCACAAAAAAAATTGTTTTGTATGTTTAACAATATATACAGAGGAGTTTAAAAGAAACCATTTAATTAATTTCGTGTTGAGTTGTTTATATTTTATATGTTGTTATGTTTTTAGTCAAGCCCTCGAGATTTTACCAGAAGGTAGAGTGTCAGAGGAATACAAAAGTTTAAATAATTACTTTTGTTCAGCAAAAAAAATAAATAAATAAATAAAAAGAAATAGGAAGTTTAAAATACTAAAAGCCGTTACTTCAGGCAATAGTAATTAAAAAATTAATAAAGTTTATCAATATAAGAAATCAGAGAGCGTTGCAACAAAGAAAAATTAATAAATTAACATTGAACGCAATATTCTCACAAAATTCTACTTTCAGCAAAAACAAATGTTTATTCTGAATGTTCTCCTCGGAAACATTATATGATTTCACTATTTGGATTATTTATATTCAGTTCCATGATTTATTCGCTAATGTATTTTATTGAAATTTGTTTTAGTGACATGGAAGACATTTAAAGTGCTTTATGAATTGTAGAATGATAAATGAATTGGAAAATATTATCAAGCGATCATAGTGTCTCTTTCGGTAGCATGGCCGAGTAGAGTCATTTACAGATGATAAGTTTGCTGAGCGATTTGGAATATAAAGTTTAGAAGAATATGAAGTATCTGTTTCTTTTATATAGAAACAAATTGAGCAACTACCTACTACTTATATAGTTGGAACTTGATTTCAACCATCATATATATGTATATATGTATCCTTTCAAGTCATCACACCATTATTCACTCTGTACTATTTATTTAACAAAATTTTTAATGCATTTAAAAAAAACGAATTTAATTAAATTAAAATATAATTTCCAATCTGCAGTGTTCATCAACACTAAAGTATCAGAAAAAAAAACAAAATAATAATTTATGTTTATTACTTATGAATAGCAGTTAGGTACAGATATCAATTGCATTGCCTCCAGCTTTCATGGAATGTTGCAAATTTGACTGCTGTATATAGTTTATCAAAACTCAATAATTTCTTATTAAAAACAATTGAGTAAATATCATTTCCTATTTAACCACAACAGAGTTCAAGCAAAAACACTCAAATTGCACCCTGTATGTTTACAGGATAAAATGTTCTTTTTAATTAAAAATACCAAGAATTAAATATGACTAAGTACTTGCTAAACAAAGAGGATCAGAATATCATCAATATTTCTAATATTTCTATATTTTGTTTTAAAGACAACTGCGATAGTTTAATAAAATGTTCGAAGCATATTGATAAAAACTAAAGTTCTTTGGTAAAAAAAATAACTTATAAAAAAACCTGTTACAAACAAATTACTGCATACAACTAACACTATATTTCGTACAAGGAATTATGAAAAACCATACCAGTCTTTCATGAAGTTGACTATTATTAGTAAATTGATATTTAATATTTAAGACTATAAAAAAAAAGTTTCAGTTTTAATTAATTTTAAATTTTATAGGAAGTTATAAAAAAATTAGAACTAAATGTTCTTATACTTTTAGTAACACGTATCAGTAAAAGCACAGGGTAACAATGCTGCAACCCATATTAATTAATTAATGTTGGGCTTCGATAATGATCATTGAGGATCGTTGGTTGCAGGGGATTATGGGCCCGATCCTCTTCAACTGGGGTCTGATTGGTGGTCTAATTGAATCTAAACTTTTCAGTAAAAATAGTAAATAAAAAAATAATAGTTAAAAATAAAAACGAAATATCTTTAGTATTAAAAATATATATATATATATATATAATTGGAATATTATTATTATTATTATTAAAACAGGGTCAAAATATGAATCGATTGAAAATATACTTAGTTGGTTACTGTATGAAAAGCAAGGTGAATTTAATTCTCATATTTGGAGAAATGTGATTTAAAACTGCAAACAAAAGTAAAAGAAAAATAAATCAGTTTATGAAAGCTTTTGGCAGACAAATATTTCTAAATAATAAAAAATAATTACAGTTCCATAATAAATAAAATTTTCAGTCAAAAACTAAATGAAATCTATGCAATAATCAAAGATCAAATGAGTAATAAATAATTAATTCTGACAATTAGGGTACTACAAAATACAGTATCTGCCATAAGGTGACATCAAATATTTCAAAAAAAAAGAAATCTAACGTCTAATATAAAATATTCTTCGACTTTATGGGTTTACTTAAGGCGAACAATTATTAAGTAGATATAAAGTTTTGTATGTTTCAACATTCAATTCTTTAGAACCCTAAAAAGGGACAACGATTTGCAGTGATCCGAGTAAGGTCAGTATGAACGAACGTTCTTTTAAAGTTACAATTTACTCTGAATACAACAATTTAAAAGTGGATTATGTTTTCCCCACTTTACTTAATTTCATTATTACTTACTTTTTAAAATAAAACAAAAATCAAAATTTAAGTAAATCAGAATAATTAAATAGTTAGATGGTGTTAACATAAGCAAACACCTTAGCAGCGAATATAAGGCGTGTATTGGCATTTGCTATATTTTGAAATTTGGTTATGAATTATTTTATTAAGTATTAGATTCTGGTCTTTGTTAAGATGACCGTATGATATTTAATTTTTGAATATAAAATACAAGGAAGTTATTACTGATTTAAACCTAAAACAAAACAAAAACAAAAAAATAAACAAATAAAAATAAAAACATAGGGCGCAGCACAATTAATGTGTACTGGCGGCAAACCTATGCAAATAAAAACTTAAAAATAAGTAGAGCTCTAATGCGAGCATAAAACCTAAAAATAAGTAGAGCTCTAATGCGAGCATAAAACCTAAAAATAAGTAGAGCTCTAATGCGAGCATAAAACCTAAAAATAAGTAGAGCTCTAATGCGAGCATAAAACCTAAAAGTAAGTAGAGCTCTAATGCGAGCATAAAACCTAAAAATAAGTAGAGCTCTAATGCGAGCATAAAAACTTAAAAATAAGTAGAGCTCTAATGCGAGCATAAAAATTTAAAAATAAATAGAGCTCTAATGTGAGCATAAAAACTTAAAAATAAATAAAGCTCTAAAGCGAGCATAAAA